TATTTTCTTTGGAGTGGGAGTGTGGGTGTGGCCTTCTGAAGTGCACTGCCCAGTGACATGGGCCCTGGGGTGGGATGGTGGAGGGGGGTGATGTTCTGGGGACCAGGTTTTTATCTGATTCCCAGGGTTTAGATGCAGGCATAGATGTGGGAAGGGAAAATAAATAAATTTCAAATCACAGGACCCCAAAATCACTAAGTCAAAGGGAAAAGTCAAAATGAGAACTGAGTCAGGCTAAGCTGCCTCCCATTTTATTCCTAAATAAGAAACTACAAAGACAAAAAGCTACACACTTATTTCACAGTTTGCCCACAGGGAAACTCCCTGTGAGCCTCATTTCACCCTGGCAATGTAAACTGATAGCTTATCTTCACAGGTGTGGGACAAAGGCCAGGCAAGGTCATCCCTCTGCTCACCTGAGACAAATGCATATCTGATTGCTCCTTCTGCTCTATTGTTTATGTCAAAATGCATATTCACTGAGCCAGACTAAGGTGTATGTGACTATTCCTCTACTCCCTTCTCGCATGTAAATTGTGTATTCAGTGAAAGGCTGAACAAAGATTCAAAAGAAGGCAACTTTTTTTTTTTTAAGACGGGTCTTGCTCTGTCCCCCAGGCTGGAGTGCAATGGCACGATATTGGCTCACAGCAACCTTCACCTCCTGGGTTCAAGCAATTCTCCTGTCTCAGCTTCCTGTGTAGCTGGGATTATAGGCACGTGCCACCACACCCAGCTAATTTTTGTGTTTTTAGTAGAGACGGGGTTTCACCATGTTGATCAGTCTGGTCTCGAACTCCTGACCTCGTGATCCACCCAACCTCGCCTCCCAAAATGCTGGGATTACAGACGTAAGCCACTGCGCCTGGCCAAGAAGGCAACCTTTTGTTTCTTATTTACCTAAGACCTGGGACCCCCACAGCTCCCCTTCTAATTGTCCTGCCTTTCCAGAGCAAACCAATGTTCATCTTGCATGTATGGTGAAGAGGGAGACCCAGGCATCTCAGATCAACTTCCCCTTTGACTATCACACTGCATTTCAATATAAGAAAAGGCTGACCGACTGGCGCCTCCTGTTTCACCTTCCTGTAGGTGGCAGGCTTGGTCTTGGGGAAACTCTCCGGAAGGCACTATTTTTACTTAAAACAAGATCAAACTAGAAACCTTTTCACGTGTGAGTCCTAAAACTGTAAACCGGAACCCTTTCATGTGTGATTCCTGAAACCGTAAACAGGACCTCAAACCTGATCCTGACCAATCTCACAGCTGTGAAGGTAGAGGGAATCCCAGCCTAAATCCACCACAGCCGTGTAAAAACCAGCAGCAGCTGAGACTTGGACCAAGGCAAGGATTGCAGAATCACCTTAAAAAGGACAACAAGCCTTGCTCCAGCCACATCCTGGAAGCTGGCTCGACCACGCACGGCCGAAGCATGAGGACGTTTATCGTGGGACTACTTCTTCTTTTTTTTTTTTTTTTTTTTTTTTTTTTTTGAGACAGAGTTTCGCTCTTGTTACCCAGGCTGGAGTGCAATGGCGCGATCTCGGCTCACCGCAACCTCCGCCTCCTGGGTTCAGGCAATTCTCCTGCCTCAGCCTCCTGAGTAGCTGGGATTACAGGCATGCACCACCATGCCCAGCTAATGTTTTGTAGTTTTAGTAGAGACGGGGTTTCACTATGTTGACCAGGATGGTCTCGATCTCTTGACCTTGTGATCCACCCGCCTCGGCCTCCCAAAGTGCTGGGATTACAGGCTTGAGCCACCGCGCCCGGCCTAGGGACTTGTTCTTCTTAATATTTGGACTTGCACAGTAGGAACACTAATTTCGAAGAATGCCCTCAGTATGTACATCAGGTAGGGCGTAAAAGTCACTGCCATTCTTTTGTCCTGCAGTTCTTATAAATGTACAGGAACACAGAAAGGAGCCTGTTTATATAATGGTACTCAATATAAGGTGTGTAATCCCTGAGATGGACAGGTAGATGTGTCATAGGCATCGTTAAGTCCTCTTTCTTCCTATTATCTGTTAAGACAGGTGAGCTGCTAAGGTATTCAGTCTACTCTGCTAGGGAGAAAAGAAACCTAAAAATAGGAGATTAGACAAATGATGAGTGGCCACCAGAGAGAACTATTGAGCATTATGGGCCGGCCACATGGGCGGAGGGTGGCTCATGGGGATACCGGACCCCTATTTACATGTTCAACTGGATCATCCGGTTGCAGGCTGTTTTGGAAATACTCACTAATAAAATGGGCAAAGCTCTGTCCCTTTTAGCCCAACAAGAAACTCAAATGAGGAATGAGATTTATCAGCACCAGCTGGCCCTAGATTATTTGCTAGCAGCTGAAGGAACTGAGTCTGTGGAAAATTCAAACTCACCAGCTGCTGCCAGCACATAACCGGCCAGGGTCATGCAGTTAAGAATATAACCAAACTGGCCCACGTGCCTGTGCAGGTATCGTATACATTCAACCCTAAGTCCTTCTTTGAAGGCTGGTCCTCAGCCTTGGGAGGATAAAAACCCTCCTCGTTAGTGTAATAACAACAGTGGGTGTTGGTCTACTATTCCCCTGCTTCCCCACCTTGTTCCTCTAAATGGCTAAGAAATCCTTTACTGCTGTAATAAGACCAGAAAAATAACATCACAAGTATATTTTATAAATCATTAATCAGTTTCTTCAGAGGACCTGGAAAGTGAGAATAAGAGTGAGACCTCTCTCTAATATTATAGAGTGGTGAGGGTCTCAAAGGGGAGGGGGGTGAAGAGGGAGACCCAGGCACCTCAGATCAACTTCCCCTTTGACTATCACACTGCATTCCAATAGAAGAAAACCTACAGGCACCTCCTGTTTCACCTTCCTGTAGGTGGCAGGCTTGGTCTTGGGGAAACTCTCCGGAAGGCATTATTTTTACTTAAAACAAGATCAAACCAGAAACCTTTTCACGGGTGAGTCCTAAAACTGTAAACCAGAACCCTTTCATATGTGATTCCTGAAGCTGTAAACCGAGCCCCTTTTCATATGTTATTTCTAAAGCTATAAACCTAAGATTCTTCCACGTGTAATATCTAATTCTGCTCCTGCTACATTGATCAATGTCTCCTGTCCCCCTAAATGTATAAAACCAGACCGAGCGTGGTGGCTAACGCCTGTAATCCCAGCACTTTGGGAGGCCAAAGCATGAGGATCATGAGGTCAGGAATTCGAGACCAGCCTGACCAACATGGTGAAATCCTGTCTCTACTAAAAATACAAAAATTAGCTGAGCTTGGTGGTGCGCACCTGTAATCCCAGCTACTTGGGAGGCTGAGGCAGGAGAATCCCTTGAACCTAGGAGGCATAGGTTGTAGTAAGCTGAGGTCATACCATTGTACTCCAGTCTGGGTGACAGAGTGAGACTCCATCTAAAAAACAAACAAAAAAAAAACAGGTTGTACCCTGACTGCCTTGGACACATGTCCTCAGGACCGCCTGAGGTGTGTCCTTAATCAGCTTTCTTTCTTTCTTTTTTGAGACAGAGTCTCTCTCTCTTTTTTTTTTTTTAAAGCAGACCGTGTTGCCCTAAGAGTTTCTCTCTTTTGCCCAGGCGGGGGTGAAGTGGCGCAATCTCGCCTCACTGCAAACTACCCCCTCCGCCTCCCGGGTTCAAACGATTCTTCTGCCTCAGCCTCCCAAGTAGCTGGGATTACAGACGCCCACCACCACATCCTGCTAATTTTTGTATTTTCAGTAGAGACGGGGTTTCGCCATGTTGACCAGGCTGGTCTGAAACTCCTGAGCTCAGGTGACCTACCTGCCTAGGTCTTCCAAAGTGCTGGGATTACAGGCATGAGCCACCGTGCCCTGCCCTTAATCAGTTTTCTAAATTGCTTGAGACCTTGGCTGTGCACCACGGCTCACATTATGGCTCATGCCTGTCTCCCTAAATGTATAAAACCAGGTTGGTCCTGGTGGCTCACGCCAGTAATCTCAGCACTTTGGGAGGCGGAGGCAGGCAGATCACCTCAAATCAGGAGTTTGAGACCACCTGGCCAACATGGTGAAACCCCATCTCTACGAAAAATACAAAAATTACCAGGATATGTGGAGGTGCCTGTAGTCCCAGCCACTCATGAGGCTGAGGCAGGAGGATCACTTGAACCTGGGTGGCGGAGATTGCAGTGAGCCGAGATTGTGCCATTGTATTCCAGCCTGGGCGACAAGAATGAAACTCCCTCTCAAAAAAACATAATAATAAGTTGATTGACACCTGTCTCAGAAACTTTTGCTTCACAGATGGGAGATAGAGGTTAAGAGAGTCTCTCTGTTCATGCCATTGCTGTGGGGGGCTCTTAAGATCCCCTGCCCTTTTTGGGGTCCACAGCTTTGACATATTTTATTGCATAGGCAGAAGTAAGGCTGCAGTCAGACCCAGCCCTGGGACACGGGAGAGAGACATGCTGGCATTCAAGCCCAGCCCCCCAGCTTGGGCTCCTCCTTCTGAGTGTGCCAGTGGCCTCCTGGTGCCAGTTCCTTGGAAACATGGTGGCCCTTCAGCTGCTCCCCAGGGCCGCCTCCCCACAGACCAGCTCTGCTCCAACTTCTCAGTGTGGCTCCAGCTTCCTCTCAGGGGTCAGGAAGCCATTCAGTGTGCACTGGGCTTCCTGTGGTCACCCCGCTCAGACCCTTGTCTGAATTTGCTCCCTCATCCTGGCCTTTTCGACTCTGAAAGATCTTCTGAAGTGCAGCCTGCTGTGGGCCTCAGCCCAGGCTGGGAGCTGGAAGCTGGGGCTGTTTCCACGTCCCCAGAGCCTTTGTGCCCCTCCCTCTTCCAGTCCCTCAGGACGGTGGCAGCCAGGACAGCACTGCTCTGTTCCCTCGAGCAGCCAGGACACTTCTCCCTGGGCCAGCTCTGAATTCCTGCTTCGAGCGCAACAAGCCTCAGGTTCACCGGGCGCGATCTTCCAGTCCCGAAACGCCCCCTCCCCGTCCCATTTCTGGCGCTTAGACACGAGTCGAGTTGGAGGAGAATAATCTGCTTTATTTTATTTTCATGTGTCTGGGGTGGCTATGGGGGAAGCCAGTGGCGCGCTTCAAAGGCGTTGGGAGCCTTCAGGGTTCAGTGCTGGGAGAAGGTGGCTTCCATATCGCAGGCAGGGTCAGCGTGGCAGCCGTCTGGAGGGAGAGGTAGCGTCAGGGGACCTCCGGCCGCGACCCTGCCGCCTCCCCTGGGCACCGGCGCGCCTCGCCCCGCTCACCTGGGCTGCAGCAGAGGCCGAACACCGCGCAGCGGCCCTCGCTCCCGCAGGCCTTGTGGCCGGACTGGCAGGGCGATGGCAGGTAGTTCTCCTCCTGGCAGCGCAGCGCCTCGGCCGTGCCCACGAAGCAGCCCAGCTCTTCCGCGCAGCAGATATTCGGCCCGAAGCAGCGGCCTTTGCCGCCGGGGCCGCAGGGGAGGCACTGAGGGGACGGGAGGGGTGAGCGAAGGAGCGGGACCGGGGTTGGGGTGACCCGGGGTGCACGGGGAGGGGATGCTGGGGTCCTGGGCTCGCAGTGCGGGCGGGACAACGGGGCTGCAGGCGCGCTTGGGCGCCGTCTGGGCTTCGACCGCGGTCACGGGCGGGGCGTCAAAATCTGCTCAGCAACTGGGGCTGTCAGGCGAGGCCGGAGCGGAGCCCGTCCCTGTGGCTGCGGGTCCCTCCTGCCCCGGAGCGCCGCGGGACCAGGCTAGGGACTCACCTTGCGCACGTCGAGGTCCAGCGCGGCCCTCTTGCCTCCCGGGGGGCAGTTCTGGATGTAGCAGGCGGAGGTGAGCGCCAGGAGGCCGAGCAGACAGCAGGCGAGGCTGGGGCCGGCCATGGTGCGGGTGCGCTGGGTCCAAGGACGGTGACTGCTGGCGGTCTCTCGGCCTGGCCTTTTTATGCCTGGGCGTTGCGTCGGTGGAGCTCTGTTTAAGAGGTTGGTCGAATGATTGGTCACAGAGGGTCGCCGTGGGTCAGGCTGAGCGCTTACAGGCGCGCCTCTTCATTTGCAGGGCCTGGGCCGGGGTCAAGGTCACCTCGCTGGCTAATGGTCTGGGCACAGAAGGTGAGGTGCTTTGCGGAAGGGAGCAGGCCAGGGTGGCCTGGGTGACTAGCATGAGACAGGGAGAATTTGGGGTGGGGTGTGGCCCAGCCGAGGCCTTTAGGGGCTGGGGCAGGGAAGGTGGACACTGGGACCCCTCCAGGTAGGAGGCAGCTCTGGCAGGACTCCCCGCCCACCCTCTTGGCCCACCATGGGTATGCATCCTTGTCCCCTCTTTTAGGAAAATTTCCTCTTCCTAAACCCAAATTTCCAGAAATCCTCTTCACCCTCACCACACAGTAACACCCACTTCCCTGCACCCAGAACTTAGATAGGAAGAGATCACATCTGTCTCTAATCTGTAACTGAAATTCAACCTTTCCTTTCTTTCTTTTTTTTTTTTTTTTTTTTTTAAGACGGGGTTTCACCACGTTGGTCAGGCTGGTCTTGAACTCTCGACCTCAGGTGATCCGCCCGCCTTGGCCTCCAAAGTGCTTGGATTACAGGCGTGAGCCACTGCGCCCGGCCAACCTTTCCTTTCACTATAAATTAGGCAACAAAACACAGTGGAATTAGCAATACCTGTGGCTTTGTCACAAATCAAAATAACAGATAACATCCTATCACAACTGTCACAAATGCCTCTAAATCCTGCTTAGATTCATTATCTCTTCATAATGATCCCAGTTATTGGGCCAGCACCAGATCTTGCTATCTGATGGCTAAATAAAGAAGCACGTTTATGACACTACCAAAATGTGTTTTGGCTGGGCGTGGTGGCTCATGCCTGCAATCCTAATACTTTGGGAAGCCAAGGTGGGCAGATCACTTGAGCCCAAGAGTTTGAGACCAGCCTAGCAACAGTGAGAACCCTCAACTCTACAAAAAACCACAAAAATTAGCTGGGTGTGGTGGAGTGCTCCTGCAGTCCCAGCTCCTCGGGAGGCTGAGGCAGGAGTACTGCTTAAGCCTGGGAATTCAGGACTGCAGTGAGCTGTGATCGTAATGCTGCACTCCAGCAGGGTGACAGAGTGAGAGCGAGACCCTGTCTCAAAAAAAAAGTGTTTTAACATTTTGATATCTGAATATATACATATATATGTTTTTGAGACAGAGCCTTGCTCTGTTGCCCAGGCTGGAGTGCAATGGCAGGCGCCATCTTGGCTCACTGCAACCTCCATCTCCTGGGTTCAAGTGATTCTCCTGTCTCAGCCTCCCAAGTAGCTGGGATTACAGACATGCACCACCACACCTGGCTAATTTTTGTATTTTTAGTAGAGATGGGGTTTCACCATGTTGGCCAGGATGGTCGCTGACTCCTGACCTCAGGTGATCTGCCCACCTCTGCCTCCCAAAGTTCTGGGATTACAGGCATGAGCCGCATCACCTGGACCTATAATTGGTTTCTTTTGTAATTCTATTGCTTTTGTTTTCTACATTAAAATTTTTTGACCGGGTGCAGTGGCTCATGCCTGTAATCCCAGCACTTTGGGAGGCTGAGGCGGACAGATCACTTAAGGTCAGGAGTTCCAGACCAACCTGGCCAACATGGTGAAACCCCATCTTTACTAAAAATACAAAAATTAGCTGGGCGTGATGGCAGACACCTGTAATCCCAGCTACTCAGGAGGCTGAGGCAAGAGAACCGCTTGAACCGGGGAGGCGGAGGTTGCGGTGAGCCAAGATCACACCACTACACTCCAGCCTGGGCAACAGAGCGAGATTCTCTCTCAAAAAAACCTTTTTTTTCTTTTTAAATATATCTCAAAAGGAAAATAATTGAAAGATGGACTACCCCAGTGGAAGAGGTGTTGGCAGATATTGTGAACAAGGAAGGAAAGGTGCTGCCCAACTCTCCCTTCGTGAAAGCACCTGCCCCCCAGCTGCTGGGAGCGCCCTCTGCAGGTGCCCCTCAGAGGTAGCTCTTCTAGGGTCTGCTTCAGCAGTAGAGAGCCGTCTGGCCCCAGGTCTCACCCTTCCCAGGTGGCCCGCATCCAATGACTGGTCCATTTTGGCCCAAATGCAGGATAACTCTGAAGGAGCATTTTAGCTCCAGAGCTCCCTGTGGGGTCAGCTGAGGTCTGCAGAGCAGTTCTCCCTCTGTCCACTCCTATTTTTTCCCCTCCCTCCCAAAGGCGTGGCCCCCAGGGACTTCTGTAAAAAAAAAAAAAAAAAAAAACTCTTTGTGAAACCATCTCCGTCTGCTGCTTATGGAACCCAACCCAAGGTTAGAATAGAAGAAACGAGAAGCACTGTGAGAGACCAGCATCAGCGGTGGGCCAGTCCCCGACCCCGGGGAGAGGAGAATGGGACAGCTCCAGACTCTCCTGCCCTCTTGTCGAGGATAGTGTGGAAGCTGATGGTGCTAAGCAGGTCACAGAGCCCATCTGACAGTCGTCACTGGCATGAGTCACCGACATGAGCTGTCCAGCATCCAGGAGCCGGTCAGGCTGACCCGCATTACAAATCAGCAGCCAGCCCTCTCTCATGAAGATTAGCTTATTGGCATTCCGGGTCTAGAAGGCCAAGGGCCTGACCCAGCAGTGGCCCAGTGAGGCCTTGCACCTGCTCTGTGGGCACAATGACCTCACTTAAGCTAATGCATGTGCATAAATTACCATAGTATTATATCCCCCAGATGGGCTGCATACTTCACCTGTTCAACAACTCCTCTTCTGAAGATGTTCCACATCCCATTACAAATGCCTGGAAGCAGCAGCAACAAAACACAAAAACCTCTGCCCTCATGGGGCTTATATTCTAATGGAGGAAGAGAGGTGTTAAACAGTGAGCACATTTCGGTAAGTTAGGAAGCAGGTGTAAACAATAAACATACTTCAGTAACCATGCATGTATTGCGGTAGATTAGTAAGTGCTATAGAGATTAAAGGGAGGCCTGTTGCAATTTCACCGAGGGTGCCCAGGGTAGACTTTCTTGTGAAGAAGAGAATATAAGCCATGCAGATCTCTGAGGTGACATTAGTTTTCTGTTGCTGCATAACATTACCACAGGCCAGGCACAGTGGGTTAGGCCTGTAATCCCAGCACTTTGGGAGACTGAAGCGGGAGGATCACTTAAGCACAGAATTAGAGACCAACCTGGGCGACACAGGGAACCCAGTCTCTACAAAATTTTTTTTATAAATTAGCTGGGTTTGTTGGCATGCACCTGCAGTCCCAGCTACTGGGGAAGCTGAGGCAGGAAGATCACTTGAGCCCAGGAGTTCAAGGCTGCAGTGAACTAGGATGGCGCCACTGCACTCCAGCTTGGGTGACAGAGCGTGACTCTGTCTCAAAACCAAAACAAAAAAGCTACCACAAATTGGCAGCTTAAAACAACATTTGCCTAATACATCGGGCCAGGCATGGCTTGACGGGGTCTTCTGTCCTGGGGCTGCAGTAGGGTGTCAGCAGGCTGCACTCCTTTCCAAAGCCCAGGTAAGTGTTAGCAGAATTCATTTCCTTGCAGCTGTCAAACTCGTGGTGGCCTGCTTCTTCAAGGTCAGGGACAGACAAAAAAGGCTTTGCTGCTTCAAGTCTAAGCGCACAGGGAGTCCTTTTCTAAGGGTCACCTGACCTGAGTAGGTCAGACCCACCCGGATCACCACCCGTTAACTCAAGTTGATTAGGTGTCTTCATTACAACTGCAAAATCCCCTCACCTTTGCCATATAACCTAGTATCATCATGGTCATCACTTTTGCCGTATTTTTCTAATGTTTAGAAGAAAGTTGGCTGGGCACAGTGACTCACGCCTGTTTTGCTTTTGTTTTTGTTTTGAGACTGAGTCACACTCTGTCACCTGGGCTGGAGTGCAGTTGGCTGGGTGCGGTAGGTCCCAGCACTTTGGGAGGCCAAGGTTGGCAGATCACTTGAGGTCAGGAGTTTGAGACCAGCCTGGCCAACAGGGCGAAACCCTGTCTCTACTAAAAAAAATATAAAAAAATTAGCCAGGTGCAGTGGTGGGAGCCTGTAGTCCCAGCTACTCGGGAGATGGAGGAACCCAGGAAGCAGAGGCTGCAGTGAGCCGAGATTGCACCACTGCACTCCAGCTTGGGTGACAGAATGAGACTCCATCTGTCTCAATAAAAAAGAAAGTTATGGATTCTACCCATATGAAGTGGGAAAAGATTACACAAAGGTAATCTTTGTGTAATCCACAGAAAGATACCAGGGGGTGAGAATTGCAGGGATCCACTTTAACATTCTGCCTACAACGGATGGGTGGAGACGGCAAGTGCTAAGGTCCTGAGGCAGGTGCGCCTGGACTGTTCCGGAGTAAGGAGGCAAGCAGGGCTGGAGCAGGGTTATTGAACTCCTGAGATCAGAAAGGTAGCATGGGATTACACCTCACAGGGGCTGGGCTTTTCCTCCAAATGAAATGGGGGAATGAAGGGGGTCTCTGAGCCAGCATAGGGTGACTTTGGATATAGTGCTGTGAAAAGACTGTGGGAACATCAAGGAAGAGGCTGTGTAACAATCCCTGTGAGTAATGGGGGAGCAATGTACGTGTCTAGAAGTGACCCGATTCCTGGTGCATTTTAAAGTAAGTACCAACTGCAGTTTGCTGATGGATTTGGATGGAAGACAAAAAGAGGAATCAAAGATGACTTCAAGATTTCTGGGCCAGGCCAGGCGCAGTGGCTCATGCCTGTAATCCCAACACTTTGGGACGCTGAGGTGGGCGGATCATCTGAGGTCAGGAGTTTGAGACCAGCCTGGCCAACATGGCAAAACCTCATCTCTACTAAAAAATACAAAAATTAGCCAGGCATGGCGGCATGCATCTGTAGTCCTGGCTACTTGGGAAGCCGAGACAGGAGAATCACTTGAACCCTGGAGGCAGA